AACGTTTGCGAAAACGTTGTTTTTGTTAGGTGGCGTCTTTGAAGTTCCTTCCACAATGGTAACATTAAAAAGGTTTGTGCCTGCTGTAATAACACGATTAGTCTGGTACTTTAGGAAGATTAATATTTTTTTGGAAATCATATGAAATTATTTTCACACCTTCCTGTTCTATCTTGAGCAGCGAATAGAAAGCTTTTGTCCTTAAGCTATGAACTCTTTTTACTACTGTAAACTGATCCTTTTCCCTTTCATCTTCCTCTGTTTTTATTTTTTCTAGTAGTTGCAGACTTGTAGAGCACATATCTGTTTAGGACTGCCAAATCCTAAATTGTATTCAGTGTTGAAAATATGTCTCAAGTAAGATTCTTTTGCCGGTGCTGAACATTAATCTTTGTATAGTTAGTACAGTTTTCGGATATTTAAATCACTTGGCAAATATTTACTGATTGAACTTTGACTTCGATAATAATGTGGTTCTGAACATTGAAGATATACATGTACTGATACCTTTTTAGACTCAAATAGGTTGGCTTTATGGTCTCCTCCTCTTTTTTCAAGCAAAGTCGTCCTTTTTTCCGTGTTTAACGTGTGCATTTGTGTAGACCTGTCGGTTAAATCTATCCATAATATCCTTTAGGTGGTTTATTAATATGGCTGGTGAGGATTCATGTTTATTAAATTTTGATAGATCAGTGATCGCTAGTGGTTTATTTACAGTCCATAGAGAAGTAGGGTATTCGAAAGGGTGGTATATTGTCGGAAATATTATGCTATATTTATTATAAAGTAATCGGTTAATTCGTTCATAGAAAGGCTGATTGCATTGAGAGTGAGATGAAAAGTAGTGGCTAAAACGATTGTTATGAACGTTAGGGTAGACTGGGTTATCTGAAGAGGATACAACTTTACAAGCAAACGACAAACTTAAAAAAGCTCTTTTAACTTTTAGAGGGATTTGCCTTAACTTACTGCTAATACTTAGTATGGGGATCGAAAGTCACCCAAAGTGACTCGCAATTCCCTATTTTGAATAACATCTAGTTCTTTAAGAACATATTTCTTGGCTGAGTTATGTACCACTGAGCTATCAGTGTATCAAAATATAGTTCTATCAATTTTTGATAGACCTAAGGATGAAAGATTCGTAGCAGAGTTGCCTTAGGTGATGTGCGACAGTGTCTTCAAAATATTAATGCTTTGGCAAGTAGCTTTTAGAGATTTTTTAAATGACTTTTCCAAACCAATGTTTTGTCAAATGTAAGAAAGAGGGATTTTTTTTTTTTTACAAAGACCAGATTCTTACTACTCATACTACTCATGTTAAAATTGGATTATACTCATTTCGCTTTCTTGAGAAGAGCAAGCTTCTCTTTTTTCGTTAAGAAGCTAAGTCCTGTTTTGTCAGACCATTTCTTGAAATTATTTATTGTGCTTTCGGGTGGATTCTAGATATATATAATATATATATATATATATATATATATATATATATTATTATATATAAGTCGGTTTAGAACGTCTTTCGACGTTGTCCGACCGATACCTAAACACCATCTCTTTCTATCTTCGCAGTCGTTTGTTGTTAAATTTCTTTCGCTGTTGCCATTTTAATCGAAGTCTTCCTCTTTTCGTTGACCTATCGGTTACCATTCTACTACTTTTTTGGAGAGTCTTGTTGCTGGCATCCGTTGAACATGCCCATACCACCTAATTGTTTCTTCTCTATATCTTGAGTTTTATTTCCTTCTATTCCCATACGTTAATTTATTACATCATTTCTGATTCGGTCTCGTCTGGAAATACCTAAAGATCTTCTCATTGCATCCATCTCTACTGCTTCTATTCGCTTTTTGTTCTTTTCACTAATTCTCCATGTTTCAGCGCAATAAAGAAGAGTAGTTTTATTCATGGTCTCATATATATTAAATTTTCTTCCTTTTTGTTATCTCTTTACTCCACAGCTTATAACCATTGAGACATCCTAAGACTGGCTTTGCCTTTGAGTGATTTCGTTTTTCTATTTCCCGTGTCACAGTTCCTGTATTGTCAAAGGCAACACCCAAGTAGACTTAGCTCTGACAGCAGGAAATATGTTGTCCGTGTTTCTTCATTCAGGTCTATGTTATCCGACTCGTTTCCAATACAAAGATATTTGGTTTTTGTTGTATTGACATTCATTCCCCAGTCGTTATATTCTTCTATCAGTTTTTAAGCATGTACTGCATGTCTTCCCTGTCGGTCGCTAGTACTACCTGGTCATCAGCAAACTGGAGTGTATATATTATATACATTCATTGCTAAGTTCTATACCATCCTATGCACCTTTCTTTTCCATCTTTCCAATGCTGCTGCAACAATATATCTTGAATAAGGTTAGTGAGATACAGAATCCCTGTCGCAAGCCTTTTGTAACAGGAATTCATCCGTTAGATATTTTCGTGTTTTTTATCTGTGCCTTTGAGTCTCTATATAGTTCTTGTACAGCATTTATCAATGTGTGGTTGATGTTAGATCTTTGCAACGTTGTCCACAATTTTGTTAAGGGGATGTTGTCATATGCTTTTTTGCAGATCTACAAAATTAATATGAGTTTCTAGATTCGTAGCTAATCTTTTTTCTATTATTTGTTAAAATTTGACAAAATTTGACAAAATACGTTATCGGTGCACGATCTTTCTGCACGGAACCCGCTTTGTTCTTCCTCTTCATTGTGCTTATATTCTTCCTCGATCATATTTCTCAAAATTCGTCCATATAGTCTGCTCAGGGTGCTGGTTACCGATATGCCTCTATAATTATTACAATTCCTTTTGTCCCCCTTTTTGTGTATTGAGGACATGTATGCCGTTCTCCACTGTTCTGGTACTGGGTGTCCATTTAGACACTGATTGATCACATAAGTTAAGTTTTCAAATAGTTTATGAGTTCCATTCTTAAGCACTTCAGCATAGATTCCTCAGGTCCAGTGGATTTACCATTCTTTAGGGTCATTACAGCCTTCCTTACTGTTTTCGATGTCTACCCTACGCTTCCTCTCCTTGTATATGTACTGACTGTGTTGGGGAGTTAGCTGGTATTCTTGTCTTATACTCTATCAGCAAGCTTTCATAGTGATCTTTCCATTGTCTTGATTTTATGGTGTGTATGTGTGCTTTGTCTTTTCCTGTATTTTTTACTGATTGTATAAAATTCCATACCTCTGTACATTGCTTCCCTCCGATGTATGTATTGATTTCTGACATTTCTGATCCCATGTTTTATTCTTTTCTTGTTTTATCATTTTTCGTAGTTGTCTATCGGTTTCTTTGTAAGCTTGATGGTCTTCAGTATTTTTTGTATTTAGCCATTTTAGATGCTGTTCTTTTTTCTGTTTTACCATATATTCGATTTCTTCGTTCCACCATATTTTGTTACTAATTTTGCTTTGCTGTGTCCCGAGTGTCTCCTTAGAGGCCTGGTGTGAACTAGCAATAATATTCTCGTAAATATCTGAAAATGTTTGCCTCTCTATTTCTCGTAGTTTTTCATCCAGTCGTCGTTGGTATAGCTGTTTAGTACTATCATTCATAAAATTATTGAAGTTGTACTTCGGAATGTCCACTGTCTGCAAATCTTGCTTGTCTTCTAGGTTTTGGTCTCCGTGTATTATCTTAAATGGGAACAAAATTTTCGCTCTTAGTGATCGGATCCACATGTTATTCCTCGGAGAACTCTTACATCATTCCACTGCAATACAGATTTTTGTTTACTAATAATATAATCGATGACTGATTTTAGATTGCGTGTTTGTTGAATCCAGGTATATCTATGTATGTCCTTATGTTTGTAGAATCCATTGCGAATTTTTAACTCATAGCTCTCACATAAGTGTATAAGTCTACCGCCATTATCATTAGTTGCCATTTCTCCAAAAGGTCCTACTACTCTACTGTTTTTCTGATATCCCGTTCTACTATTGAAGTCTCCAAGCATAACTATTTCTCTGTTTTTTCCTATGTTGTTAAGTATATCCTCGATTGTTTGAAAGAAATCTTCTTTCACGTTGATTGTTGCATCATCAGAGGGAGCATAAGCGGCTATCATGGTAACCTTGTGCTCATATATCTCTATATTTACTCTTAGGATATTCTCATCTTACTCTTAGGATATTCAGGATTCTAGCTTTGTTCCTCTTAGTAGGAGAATCAGATCGTCTGCGTACAATCTTACTTTAACTGGTTGTTGACATTGGTCCAAGATATCGTTAATTGTAACAAGAAATAAAGTTACACTTAACATCGCTCCTTGGGGAACTTCGTTTTCCTGAATTCGAGTTGGTGATAGTATTCCATTTGCTCGTACCTTTTACCGAATAAATTTTAGGAATTGTCCATTAATACCCTAGGAGTGAAGCTTTTTTATTATACCATATCTCCATGTGCAATTGTAGGCTTTTGTTATATTGCTGCAAATAGCTAGACAGTGTCGTTTGTTAATGAGTGCTTCGTGAACTTCGGATTTAAGATCAACTAGATTATCCGTCGTTGATCTATTTTGACGAAAGCCATTTTGCTACAGGATAAGTAATTTTTTATCTTAGAGACACCATGTAAGGCGACGGTTTATAATCTTTTCGAATAGCTTACAGGTTGACGAAGTAAGGGATATTGGCCTATAGGTCTGAGGATTTATTTTCGGTTTTAGAGGTTTAGGGATTGGGTTGATATATGATTCTGACCAAGACTTTGGAAAGTAATGTTGTATCCACATTTGGTTCAAACTATTAGGGAGGTATGTTTTAGCGTCTTTGCTTAGTTTTTAGAAAAAAATTATCGGTATATCATCTGGATCCGGTGAAGAGTTTTTTATGAAATCAAACTACAAATATTTCTCATGATATATATTTACTGAAATTATTAAAATATTGGTATTTTTTACATTTAAAATTTAATATCTAATAAACTATTACAACGAATGTTCCTGGTAAAATTTACATCATAACTTTATGATTAGTGTAAGGTTTACAACACTGGATAAACACCTGCATTGTTAATGCTACAGATGTTATTTCCTCTTGCTATTCTTATATATCCATTTTCTCCCCATTGTGTACCCCACGAATTTTTGACAATAAAATACTCATCAGTATATCCTACAGCAAGAACGGCGTGATCAATTCTACCACAATTTGTATTATTATAAACACCTCCCATATAATTGTCCGTCCAAAGTTTTGCCGCAACGAGAACGGATATTGGTCCAACTTTAGCTGAAACCAAAAAATAAATTTATATTTACTTAATAAGAAACACAGAGTATAATGCAAAAGTACGAAATAAATTCATTATTTCAGAGACGTGCCGTCTGACAGACTACAGCATAAAGAATTTGTAACACCCTGTACAAATAATTTCGCCCATCGGCACATCAGTACGTCTATTGTTTATATTATTCTTTGTCTATTAATGAAGAAAATATAGTTGAGACTAATAATCAAACATATTTCTAGTGAAAAAACCGATTTAGGTGGTGGAAATATGAGGTTTGACCAGTATCTCGTACAAGGAAACATAATTTAGTAACAAAAATTCATGTCCTAAAAACAAAAGCACGATGTCTTGGAGAGTAAGCTGATCATCTAAAGCAGGGGTCTCCAAAACTACGGCCCGAGGGCCACATCCGGCCCGCAGACAGATTTTGTCCGGCCCGCGGAGACATACTTGAAAACTCCTTTTAGAGAACAAATATTTTTTTATAGCAAATAAAATGTTTGTGATAAGTTGGATAAAGAAACACAGAATGGTAATGAGTAAAGACATGTATAATTTATGCAGTAAATTTAACTTCAGCATATAATAACTAACAAATTATTGAAATGAATCCAACGAACATTTTATACATTGTAAGTAATAACCAACACATACCTTATAACAAACATGACATATGAAATGCTAATGAGATGTATGTAATTGAGATTTTCCACCGACAATAGTTTGTAGTTGTGGACTAATTTTACTTGTACCAATTATTAAAAGAGATTTAAGATGCTCGTCAGTTAATTTAGATCTGTATACATTTTTTGTGTACTTCATTTTGGAGAAGGTTTTCTCACACAAATAAGTAGTACCAAAAACGGAAAACAGACCACGAGCAAATTTATGCAAATTATCAAATTGTGTCAGTGGAAGACTCTTATAAAATTCCAACAAAGATGAGTTTTCATATTTGTTCTTAATTATATCACTGCACTGAAGATCAATCATTTCCATTTGAAGTTCCGGGGCTAGGGTTTCAATGTCGCATCAAAAGGATTCTGAAAAATCTTAATTTGATTCGCAATGGCATCAAAGTCCGAGAAACGAGTATCAAAATTTATCTTCAAAGCACTCAAAGTTTCGATTGCAAAATCGATAGGAAACTCAGTCTCAGTAGTGTGGCTGAATATTTCACATGTTTTAAAATGTGAAAAACATTTACTTCGTAGTTGTGATTGAAACAGTATCAATTTCATCCGGAATGACTTGATATTAGTGTATAAATCAGGAAAATGCTGGTTTTCTCCTTGCAATCTCAAATTCAGTTCATTCACATCTTTTGTCAAATCAACATAGAATGCTAACTTCCATAGCCATGCGTTGTTTTGTAATTCAATAAGAGGGCGGTGCTTTTCATTCAAAAAAATTTCGATCAATGCTCGAAGTTCAAAAAAGAGCGCTGAAGGACTTTCCCACAACTAAGCCAGCGTACGGCAGTATGATAAGGTAAGTCTGTTTCTCCATCTCTGAAATAAATTGTCGGAATTGTCGGTGATTCAACCAAAAGATCTGATTAAATTAACAGTTGATATGACTGGTTTCAGAACGTCAGACACATCCAAACATTTTCCGCACAAAGACTGTTGATGAATGATACAATGTAAGACTAATGGTTTTGAGCCGCCGTCATTTTCTACAGCCTTTGACACAAGAGCGACCACTCCTTTATCTTTCCCACTCATGTTTTTGCCTCCATCAGTTGTAATACATTTCAAGTTTTCCATCGAAGGTTCTTTTTATTAATGGCCATTTCAACTCCTTTAAAACATATCTGGTACCAGTAGTTGTGCATGAATACTATACATATCAAGAAGTTCTTCGTGCACTTCATAGCTTTTATCTACTCCTCTAATATAAATCAACACCTGAGCAGTATCTGACACATCCGTTTGACTCATCCAAGGCCAAAGAAAACCACTCAACATGTCCATTTTTGTCGAACAGTTGAGAGGATATATTTTCAGCGATGTTTTCTGACCCTTCGAGCCACAGTGTTTGCTGACATACTGACAGTTTTTAATAAATTTACCTTTTCAGGGCACATTTCTTCGACTACTGCAATTATGCATTCCTTGATCATTTCTCCATCTCCATGAATGGTTTTCCACGTTTTGCAATTTCAAGAGCCACACGAAAGCTGGCACGAGTTGCCGCCTCTTGTTCAGTTTTTTGTTTGTTTGTTTTGTTTCGTAATGACGTTTCATGTTATATTCTTTAAGAACGGCTATGCTTTCATTGCAAATCAAACATAGCGCCTTGTTACTGGACTCAATTACGAAATACTGAATGTTACTGAAAATAATTCAAATCAAATCAAAATACTGTTACACGCACAAACTTGTTTTAAGGAGGTACGCCCTATTTTATTTCAAAACAGTTTCATAGGAACTGACTTGTAGTTACGCCACTATTGTCATCGCTTCGTCCTCGCACTCGTCCCACTTAGGTGGGGTCTTTAGTCTCCTCCCAGTTATCAGGTGCGTAACACTTAAGTGATTTGCGGCTATTATTTTTCAGACTTCTTATTATTTCGGATAGTTAAGTGTGTTTGTGACAATTTCTAACGATGGCGTTGAAAAATAGTAGAAAGAATAATTATGTTATTAGTGGACAATCTCGGGAGAGATTGGAGATTTCCACTGGTGGAAATATTTTGTTTGTTTATGTCTACCTTGTATTAAATTAAAATATATCAAAAATATTCAAAATTTACGAAAGTGGTATAACACGACTACCACTGAACGGTTTCGCGTTGCAGTAAACAAAGTAAAGATAACCGTGCAGATTGCCAACATTCGAAACGGATAGGCACTTTAAGAAGAAGAAGATTCAAATCGAACCATGAGAATATAAAAACGCTTTTTGCAACAGATGGAACTGACAGGGAAATTTTTAGAACTGTCATGAATCAAAAGCGTTTTGCAGTCATTTAATCAGCTCTGTGTTTTGATAATCCAGATGATCAAGAAGAAAGAAAAACATCTGATCCAGTAGCAGCAGTTTCTGCTGAAATTGTCAAAAAAATGGAAAATATGGTCTAGGTCAATCAGCAACTGTTGATGAAATGCTTGTCAGTTTTAGGGGAAGGCGCAGTTTTTAAATGTATATGATGATAAATGTATATGTATATAAATGTAGATTTAGAGAAGAGTGTACAATAGTATCTTATGTGGCCAAAAAAAAACAAAATCACGATTAGTTCACTGCAGAGAGAGAACCAAACATTCTAAAGTCAGAGGTAGAAAAAGCAATCAAAAAGTTGAAAAATAGAAAATCTCCTGGCTCAGACCAGATCACCGCAGAAGTATTAAAAGAGACTGGAGATGTTGGAGTAAATGTTATGCATATGAACTGCAAAAAATTTGGCCAACTGGAGAGTGGCCCAACGACTGCAGAACATCCACTTTCATCCCTATATTTAAAAAAGGAACTCCGCTAGATTGCAGCAACTACAGAACGGTAACCGTAATATCCCATGCAAGCAAGGTTCTACTTCATCTAATACATGAAAGACAAAAAGCTTTTCTATTGCTTCAGATATCAGAACAAGAAGCGGGATTTGTCCGAGGAAAAGGCACCAGAGAACACATCCTTAATATCAGACAGCTAATCGAAAAAACTCCTGAATTCAATACTTCTATGCTTATGTGCTTTGTGGATTAAACAAAGGCCTTCGATAAAGACATATGGCAGCAGGTATGGTCCATACTAGCAGAAATGGGAACACTTCATCACTTAATTCAACTAATTAGAAGTCTATATGAAAATAATAAGTCCACAGTAAAAATCTCGTCAACTGTGTTTAATATCTACAACGAATACATTATGGGAAAGGTACTAGAAGGGCAGAAGTAGTGGTCAAAAAAATCAATAACTTGAGATATGCTGATGACACTTTGCTAGGATAAGATCTCCAAGCCATTGGGTAGATCAAACAATAATATTGATTAACCCAGAATTACATAAAGCCGAACAACTAGCCCAGGACAGAGAAGGATAGAGGGAAATAGTGAAAAAAACTGTAAAGGCCTGATGATGTCACAACATCCCAAAAGAGATTAGGACTAAGGAGGAGGAGGACTCCTACATTTAAGAAAGAAAATAAACATAATTAAAATATATATTGTCCAATCAGCCTGGTTTTTGTTATCGGCAAGGTCATGAAATCGATTATTTCGGAAGCTATGTCTGAGTTTCTTGTTCAAGAAAATGTCATCCCTTATCAACAGCATGGCTTTATCAAAGTTCGTTCAACGATCACAAATTTACTTCATTGCCTAAATGGTTTTTTATCAGTTTTAAACAATCGGCAATGGTCTACTTAAACTTCTCCAATGCTTTCGACTGTGTTCCAAAACGTCGATTACTAGCTAAATTGGATTAATATGCTCGATGGCATCCGCGGAAAGTTAAACATTTGGATTCAAAATTTTCTATCCGACAAATATTTCAGGCTTTGTGTAGAAGAAGACTACTCTCTAGATAAGCTAGTCAAGAGTATATACCTCAAGAACCAGTACTTGGACAGCTACCTTTTTGTATCTACACTAGTGATCTTCCGTTCCTTGTATCCAGTAAGGTTTCCATTTACGCTGATGATACGAAATTATATGTGAATCAAACTATTAACCAACATGTTCTTCAACACGATATTGACGCAATATGCGAATAATCTTCAGAATAGGTACTTCTGCTGAACATTGAAAAATGCATTGTTCTACATGTTGGCCAAAAAAAAACCCATCATGAACATTCCTTAAACTCGGTAACCTCTCCTAACGATTTCGGACTGATAATTAATAGTGACTTCAATTGTCAGATAGTGTCGATGTGTAAACGTGCAAACAATACAGTCCAAATTAGACTTTTGAATAATTAAAAAATAAAAAAGCTTATATAAAAGAAACAAAAAACTGGAGCTTCAAATCTCTGCATTTCTCCTCTTTTTTCAAAT